GAGATGCAAGTTTAGGAGATAGAAGACGCTATCTATGAAGGCAAAGCTCATGGAGCAACTTGTTTTACTTGTGTCAAATTGTTCATTAAAAAGTATCATAAATGATGAATTATTAGTGAAGGATCACGCATTTAGAGGTGGTAATGCAGTCTGTTTAAACCTGACTTACAAAAAAATAATAGCTGTACAGACAGTACACTAACTGAAGTCTTGGCGTGAACCCTTGAACAATTAATAAGCGTTATCTAATGCTGCTAATACAACAACAACTGATGTTGCCAGTTTTCTGCTGTTGCATCTTCAGGGAGAGCAACCCATGGGACTACCTCATGGTATAAATTCATTTGTAAACGTTTACTCTTTTTTTTCTCATATCATATATAAAGCTCCTAACAGCAGAAACATTTGATTTTTTTGCAAGAAACACTGCTGAAGGAACCATTTTAGCAGCAAAAATTGGAAGCTTCATAATCCCGAAGTAGTATGACAATATTCAGTCTTGTTAGCTTCACTTATTTGTTCTAAAGGTACTTACTGAAGAACCGAGTGTGGAGTGTTTTTTTGTGTATTTTTTAGTAAAATGTCTCCTTTACTTCTCAAGCAGCTGTAATTCAACTTGTGGGAACTGATGCTATTGACTTGGATTTTTTTGTTATATCTGACCTGTGCATTTAGACACATTCATTTTTTGGAAGCGTAGTGTTTGCTGACCATAAGACCATCTATGAATTTCTCTAAACTATTATCCAGCCATAACTGTAGGTCTAGTTTTAAATTAATGTAATATGCAGACATTCTAGGATTTATTTTGGGTATGGACCCATAACTAGTAGTTTTCTTATGTATTGTCCTCTGCCTAGCCTTCGTGATGCAAGTATTTTAAGTGCCTTGTTTTGTCTACTGCTAGTAGTAGCAGGAGTTAATTTATATTCATTTGGTTTAAAAATTCCTTTGTTATTCTTCATTTCTGCCTGTTTAGGGAAACAAATTCTTCTTTTAGGTTGAAAAACACAGACCTGATTGGATTTGAAGGAAGGAAATAACTGTATTTCCATAGGAAGAATAGGGTAAATTCGGACAGAAGATTTCAGACCTGTGATGTGTGTTTTTCAGCTAATTTTAATAGAGAAGACCTCGTATGTTAGTGTCTGCATGTTTTTCTTATTTTATTATTTAAATTTTAATATACGATACATTGAAGGACAATCCAGGGAAATCTGTAAATGTCGTAATCATTGACGAATTGAAAAGAAGTATAGGAGATATTCTTGTTTCTGCTGGATTCAACCTTCTTAATATTTCTTAGTTGCTTCTGCTAGCAGTGACTAAGCTGGTAACGGTATTTCTGAGTTAAGTTTTGTCTGTGGATCATTCTGTATCGTTTAACCACTGTTATGCAGTGGAAGACATAAATGCAGCACTGTGCTACTGGAACACCTAGCTTGCTTGCATACTGTCCTCCCTGGACCTCCCACAACCCCAGGCAGCAAACTGTTGTGTGTGTGTTTTTTTTTTTTTTTTTTTTTCCCTATTTCCCCTTTCTCCATCACATTCAGGGGAGGCTAGCTGACTAAGATATTGCGTATTGTAAAGTGCTTTCCCTTTTTTACAGTTAGGATACTTACTTTTTTTTTTTTTTAAAAAAAAACTGTTCTCAGTTTTCTCATCCTTGCGTCTTGCAGCTTTGAGCTTATTGTTTTTTCTTTTAACAGAATCAAAGTATTATAGAGCTAATTATTCTCCTAAAGAAAATGAAATGAATACAACAAATTATTATTTTGTGCTGGAATTTTAGCACTTCACTTTTGTATAAGCTTCTCTTTCATTTTGGGGAAATAAGGGCTAGAACTAAACAGCTGGAGAGAGTTAGTGTAGGACAACCTTAGAGAATCAGAGTTTTGGAAAGGAGGGCAGCCCTTAACATAGAATTATGTACCCTTCTTCTTAACCCTTATTTAAAAAATCAGATTCTCAGCTTCTGCAAGGCATTTTATTAGGCCATATAGGGCTCTGATTTTTGTGAGTAAGCACATGATTTATTACATGTGAAACAGGGAACAGAAAATGAACCTAGTGATTAAAAACTCCACCTAGATGGACAGTTTAAGAAGATCTGAAACTTCCCTTAAAACTTGCATTCTACCATTAAAAATAGTCTGGCATTCCTTTTGCTTCTTGTTTGGAATGCTCTTAAGATCATGCATGCAGTGGGAGATTTTTCTGAATTCTGAGGGTTAGGAGGTAATACAAAGTTTTAGTTATGTTAGCCAATAAGGCTAATATCTTTAAAATAAATGAATAAAATATCTGAACATGGAATCTTGCTGCTGGCAGGCCCTCAGTTATTCGTGGAAATTAATGCCTGAACTCGCAAAATAAAGGGGCATACATGAGACCTTTGGATATATGACTCATAATTTTCTCTTCATTCTTTAAACCACAGACTCAATCACTTCATGAAGGTGTTTTTACATGTATATCGAAATGCAAATACTATTGAAATAATGCTGTTTGTTTCGTACATTTAGTCCTTGCAATGTGTTCATTCCTTTCAATTCTTGTACAAAGCTGAGTTACTTAAAATTTGGATTCAAATGTAGCAGATGCTGATGTGGCAACACAGACCAAACATTCTTGGTTTAAAGGTCAAAGTAACTTGTAGCTGACTCATGAAAATGTGGACCGTTTGTGAACCCAGTGTAATTTTTATTGCCTCTGCCAATAGTAAGTTTCTTTTGAATTGGAGAATGACATCATTATAGTAAACAGATTAAAATACTGACACTTTGAATTTTGATCATGACAGGGGTGCCTCCAAGGAAAAAATATATCCTACTAATAGATTAACCCTTGTAATAAATTAACTGAAATTAGCAAATACAGTTGAAAAGTCTTGCATACTTTTTTTTTTTTTTTTTTAAAAAACTCCTTTGATTTTAAAAACAAACCAAGCCCTCCACCATGGAGACTGCAGTTTCTCTTCCAGCAAAAGATGTCTTGTAAACTATATGATCCTATTCTGGCTTTATAGTTTTTACTCTCTAGAAACACTATATTTATACTTCGTTGTATACCTCAGTTAGTTATAAGAATCATATTGTATGTTGTGTTGTCTACGTGTAACAGTAACATTTAATACAAATGTAACAGTAATATTTATACAATCATTTTTCTTCAATTTTAGTTGCTGTAGTTGATTCAGTTATACCACTGGTTCTAGCCGATAGACTTTTCGTCTTGCTTGGGAGTATGTCATTATCTGCATCTTCCATTTTATTTTACCTTCTTTAAGCCCAGCTCATGCTGCTGGACCAAAGAACCATCTTTGCGTCCATGACTTGAAAGACATGTTTCCTAACAGCTTTTGCGAGGGAGAGGCAGTTGTATTAGTTTTCTGTCCCTTTCTTCCGTCGGGATGATGGTTTGCAGATAGTGACATAGAAATCTGAAGGAATTAATCCTGTATAGTATAGCTTTTGTTTCTATATGAAAACCTTGACTCTAAAGGATGCCAGACCAAATCAGGTGGATTTGGCCTCATGGACTTCAAGAAATTCAGTTTCATTTACAATTTAAGAAAAAACAATGTTATTCTTAACTAGTCAGCTTTTCTTATTGTATCTCAGGTCTCGTGTCACTCCCTGATAGCTAGCTTCCATAAAAGTCTGTCTTTTCCCAAGCGACTCTATTTTGTAATTATCTTTTGAAATGCAAAAAAAAAAAAAAAAGCATTTAATATAATTTAATGTTTACACAAATGTATCATTTTTGGGCAGTAGGCTGACTAACCCTATGTTAGTTGTTCTCATTTTTGCTAAAATCCTTCATGGTCACCATGGTTTTTTGTTGCGGAAAGATGTTGCCACCTCCTTCTGCTAACTGTAGCATGTCAAAGGTCACCGTCCTGGTCTCTGCTGTCCTAAGCAATTGCATTGGCTACCGTGCTGTAAAAGGAAATGTTTTGTCAGTTGGAATCCAGGTAACTATGATGTGGATTTGTGTATATATCTGTTGCTTCTATCTAATGAAGTTAGACCAGATTTAACTCTAATTTGTCTGCAATGCCTTTGTCATGCAGATCTAACTTTGTTCATTAGTATAGTGCTATGTTCTGCACTGGATGGAATGATGTTTCAATACTTAAGATTGTAAGTCACTTTTCTAAAAAAATATTATTGTTAAACTTCTGATAACCTAGACATGTATGGAATTATTTGGTGATGCTGTATGGAGGTTTAAAATAATTGCATTTTATGAGAGAGTGACATGTGAAATTTAAAACGAGGGAAATATAAATTGGAAGCTTTCTGCATCTGGAAGTTGATTTGGTGTAGTGGTCTGTTAGAGGAAGAAGATGCATGGTCAGCCTTGCCTTTTCTTACTACAGGTCTTAGGTTTATTGTTAATGAGGAAATATATTCATCTGGATCCCTGTAAATAAATGTCTATCTGTTGGGATATGTGTGCAGAGTTAACAGCATAGACCTTAATCTTGCAAAAGGAACTGAAGAAACATAAGTGGTCTAAAATATCTGGGGTGCGTTTTGGCAAAGAATGAGTTAGGGATGTTATGTGTTTATCTCCATGAGAAGCAGAATCACCACGTTTCTAAGACTGATTAAATCTGAGTAGAACTGGTAAGTAACAGTAACAGTTGTATACTATTTCATTGAATGATACTTTTCATTTATATATATATAAATTTTTATTTTAATAGATATATAAAACTCAGACCACAAAGTTATTGTAATGCTCACTGTCTGTTTGTTGTCTTAATTTGCATACTTACTCTTTATAGGCACACATATATTTATAGTAATAGGATTATATGACAAACTTTCTGCACTAAAACTATATTCTAAATATTTATTGTTGCTTCTGGCAGGCTTGTGGAAAATTTCTGGTATGTGTTTATTGTTTTCTTTTCTATGTGAGTCAATAACAGTTATCTTGTTGGAGATGCAGCTTGTTTCAGTTTTAATATTTCTCTTTTCTTTTAGAGGAAGCCCACATGTGAAGGGGACCCCACATTATAAGGAAGAACAATGTGCTCCTTCATTAAATCTAGAAATGAAAAAAGTGCTGGACTTGCAAGCATCTGTCACAAGGTATGCTCACTAATAATATGCTAAGGCTTTTTCCTCATATAGCACTTACTTCTTAAAAAGGAAAGAGGAAAACCAAAAGGAAAAACCTTCTAGTAAGTCTAAGAAGGTAAAAATGGAAATTGTTGTTCGGGAATTAGTATTTGGAAAGCAGACATTCTTTTTTTCTGGGCTTGTCTGTATTGATATTTTTGGCTTTTAGAGGTCTATATTGCGTTTACTTTCAGCATTACATTATAGTACTATAAATGTGTTCGGCCTCTGACTCAAGATGTGAATTAGGGATTTTGTGGACACATCTGTAAAGCAGAGCAAAACTATGGACAGAGTTCCAGCACCTCCCCTGCCATCTGCTTAGATTTGCCAGTTTGTTTTAGGGTAACTTCTTGTTTAGCTCAGATTTTTTGTGGTGAGTGCCTTCCCTGTAAATAGACATTTAATGTGCTGAGTAAGCATGAATGAAAAGTTGACAAAACTGTATAGGATTGGGAGGGTGTGGAGTGAGGAAAAGAGAGCAAAGTGCAATTTGCATACGGGCCTCATAGGAGAAAGGGTTATTGGAAGAAATGCAGTAAAAATTGAGTAGATACTGATTGTTATCTGCATGCAAATGGATAGCAGTGTTTTGAATTTTTGAGCTCTTTTGGGAAAGGCTACAGGAAAAATCTCTTAAGCATAGACCACAGGCTAGACAGTGTTTTGGAAATGTGTATAGTCAAGGTTAAAATCAGTTATGTAGGATGGAAGAATAATGGACTGTTGGTAGCAATGTATTGTATTTGGTGGGGAAAAAAAAGACCTTTAGCAGTTCATTTACTAGTTAAACAATTAATGTAACAATACAGATCTGTTCACAGACTAATTCTCAAGGGAGGAGAAACATATATACCATATTTTATCAGCTTAGTGTCTTTACTGTCTAGAGGGCTTCTGTACTTAGTTCGTAACACTACGTGATTTGCTAACATAGCTGCTTAAACAAAGTGCAGTAATGTAGTGGTTATTACATTAGCTGATATTTCTGTGATACGGATTTAAGCTGCAAATTTTTAGAAAATGACAAATGCATCTGTTAGTTTGCAGTCTATGTTAGAGGATCTGCTTGTTGCTACTGCTGATGGATTTCTCCATCTTATTCACTGGGATGGCATGACCAATGGAAGGAAGGCCATCAACTTATGTACAGTTCCATTTTCTGTGGACCTGCAGTCTTCTCGAGGTAGGGTTTTTCGTTTGTAACTTACGATGGTTAAATATTGGAGAAATACCCTCTAATATAAAACATGATGTTGCCTTTTTCAAGCAGAGAAATAGAAGAATGTCCCTCTTGTAAATGTGGAAAAATTACCTGTTGAAATTAGTTTCTTCTCTGAAGGAATAGGTAAAGAACTGAAATCTCTGTTGGCTTGCGGTATCACTGTGTTGGTGTCTCATAAAATTATTAATGTTTTCTCAGCAGGTTCATTTTTGGGCTTTGAAAATGTTCACATCAGGGATATGGAGTACTGTGCCACGCTTGATGGGTTTGCCGTTGTTTTCAATGATGGAAGGGTTGGTTTCATTACACCAATGTCAAGTAGATTCACTGCTGAGGTACAATTCCTCTAATATTTCTGGTGCACATTCTGCAATTAAGGTTTTTTTTTGTCTCCCCCCCCCCCCCGCCCGCTCTCTGTTTCAGTTAGCTTACCCCTTAAACTTCAGCTGGTCTAAAAATAAATTTAAAAACTACCAAGTGCTTAAGAGGTAACAAGAGAGCCATACTGGATTTCATACCATAATTTGAACTAAATTGTTTTCTGGCTAGTGGCTGACTCTATGGGAGAGCATGGCTGGAAGTAGATTTGGTCTTTATTTATCATCTCCGAATCCCATTACAGTTCTGAAGTCATATTTCTGTCTCGGCAACTGACTTCCTGTTGCTAGCTGTAAGAGGGAGTGATGAGAATTGGATTCTTCAGCTGCAAAGTATCATGTGTACTATTTCTAGTTTTCAGCTGTAACCGGGTCTAACTCTTCCCACAGTGACATATTTCAGAATTTTTGTAAAGGAATCTTTCTCCAATATGTTCTGTTTCCTGAAATTCAGCCTACAAACTACACTAAATTTTATCATTAGAGTTCTTTATTTTAATTACAGAAACAATAGAAGGATGTGTGTAGTCATGCCTAAACTCCTAATTATCTTTGGTTATTCAGAGCTCTGATAATCAAAATCCAGTGTATGTGTAACTTGTTCCATTCTTCCTAAGAAAAATTAGAGAAAGATGCCAGTCTGTAGGAAGGCTACTTATCTGAGCCATGTCAGTTACTACTGAAATTTGCAGTAGAAATAGAAATTCAGATAGAAATACAATCTACCTTAATATTGAAACAAAAGGCAGTATTAAAATTTTGGTTTGAGATTTCCACATTAATATGCTGTGCAGTTTGAATATCTCCATCATGGCAGAAAAATATTACCTGTAGTGGTTTTTGGTATTTAAAATACAGCTATGCTTCTTGCTTGTAGATACACATATTGTAAAGAAAAAAGCCTAGGTGACGAAGGTCATCCGGCAGATCCAGAATATGGTCTCTGCCTCTGTAAATGTGGCTGGAAACCCATAGTGAATGCACAAGCTTGTCCAATAAACTGCTGTCACACTCATGGGAGAAAAGGGTTGCTGTCATGATTTTGTGGAGTTTTTGATTGTTATCCCCAAATAGGTGGCTGGATTACAATGTAGAAAGGTCGCATCACTGTGCAAACACCTATGTACATTCATACGCACATATTGTATGTATCTACATTATATATATTTTTTGTTTGGTTTTTTTTGACCATGTCTATGAAATCAGTCTTAACTGGGAGCATCTTGGGCACGGTACTGTAAAGTTCCCTTTCCTGGACAACTTTGAGCTTCAGTTGCGTGACTGCTGAATTCTGTTAGAAGTACACGGATAGAAGACAACTATCATGATTAAAAGTCCTGTTTAACCAAAAACCTGACTTCTTTTCTTTGCAGCAGCTCCACGGTGTTTGGGCACAAGATGTGATTGATGGAACTTGTGTGGCAGTAAATAACAAATACAGATTAATGGCATTTGGATGCGCCAAGTAAGTTTCGTAAGGCAAGTTGAATGGGAGTTTTGGGGGTTTTTTTTTGTTTTTTGTTTTTAATAAAACGTAAGTACTACTTTCTGCTTACAAAATTGTGCTGCAGAAACTTTTAAAGGTGAAAATTATCAGTTTTGCAAGAGATGGTGTAACCTACTTTGTCAAGAACGTAGGAGGAGAGAAGAAAAGAAATGATTACCTGGTTGTGATAAAGCTGGATTTGATGCTTGTTTTTTTTAAGCTATGAAAAAGAAAAGTAGTTGGAACTGTAGCAAGGGTTGGAAATGTGCTGCTATCCCAGTTAATCTCAAGGCAAGATTATAAAATCAGTTTTAAGCAGTTAATCATGCTCGTATTGAACAAGAAATAGCAACACTTTGCACCCAACTGTGAAAGTGTTGATTTGGTTAAGAAGAATGTTGTGTATTTGAATAAGTGGGAATATCCATAAATTAAAAAGTTAGGAAAGTGCTCTTAATTCTAATGTTTGTTTTACCGTTCTTTCAAGACTTCCTCCTATATAATATTGTTTCAGAAGGTCTAGAGTGTAACTTTTTTAGAGCGTTTTCTTAAAAACTTAGTCGTCTGGGTGGTTTAGTCTTCAACTATTTTCTTAGGTATTCTACACTGTAGTAATAATGCTGTATTTTAGTGTCTGCCTTTGAAACAAAAAGCAGTTACTATATATAGTTCATTGATCTTAGTATGCACTAGTGCACTTCAGATAAAACTTCAGCACCTGGTTAATACTGTGCCCATTGCATGGATTGTCATGAAGTTGGGAGCTGTATAAATACTTGGGTTTGTGTGTGTTCGTGTGTATGTTTTCAGAAAATGAAGCACTCTCAGTGAATGAAGTACTCTTAGGTTTTGAGTTCCCCACTGCATTCAGGAAACCATTTTGTAAATATTTTTTTTGAAGTGCTTTAAATTTTTACTTGCCACAGCGCCTCTGTTCTAGATAAATTTAGTATTGTACAGCAGGAGACACAGGTATAAATGTTAAGGTGTGGGGCTGTTTTTTTCCCCCATTTTTAGAAGTGAAAATGAATAGTTAAAAAAATGTTTGTCCTTAATCAGAACTTACTCTTGCATGAAAGTTGTATTATGGACAGGTTATCTTTTAAAATTACTTTTATTAAATTGTAGGTATGAATAGAGTATTTCTGAGAGTGGGAAAACAACTTTTAGTCAATAAATAACAGGTTGTTTTTTTTTTTTTTTTTAAACTCTTGATATCAGTTAGAAGTTCAAATACTCTTGTAGTCTAAAGCATCTGTAATCTCTTCCAGCGGCTCTGTACAAGTTTATACAATAGATGTCACCACTGGAGCCATGCAATTTTCTCATAAATTGGAGCTGACACCAAAACAATATCCTGGTGAGCTAATTCTATTGCTAGAATTTTTCCAGCTGTTTTTCAGATATTAAAGAGTATTTTTATCCCTCGCTAGTTAACAGTTATTCATTGTTTGCATTCTCATTGGTGGTATTAGTATTTTTCCTCCTCCCCTTTCTCCCTTGATTATTAATAGATAATGAGATGCTTTTTCCGTTACTCACCTGAGAAAATGAGAGATTATTGTCAAAACTGGTATTGGGTGTATGGATGTGGGAATTCACTTAAAACAGTTGTCATGCTTTCTGTAATTCCATAGAAAATCATGTAGGGTGCCGAAATTGCAGAAAAAAAATTGAGGAAGGCACCAGTCCTCTGGCTGAATCGAAGCACAATAGAATTTTTCATGTAGTAGTGAATAAGTACTGTGGGCTTGAGAGTGGGGAGCATATGAATGGGTAAATCATGTCCTTAACTTGAACACGTGTACCTGTTGTGAAAATGAAATTTTGCAGTTCCCGTATGTGCCAAAGGAAGAGGATTTTTTTTTTTTTTCCCCCCCCTCCAAGGATCGTCTTATCAGAATGGCAGTTATATGTTTGTGCGATAGCACAGTGTATTTCTGACCTGTTTTTTTAAATTCTTAGTTTCCAGTGAGGCTGGAATACCTTTAAAGAAAATATGAATTCTTTATTTTTCTGCTTACTCATTTTCAGATGGTTAGATGGATGAATGCAGCAAAGTAGTAAATTGGAAAATCAAGTTTTTATTTATATGTTCTCTTATTCTTTTCATATGACAAAAGCAATAATGCTCATTTTGACATTTTTCACAAGGTATTTTATTGTCTACTTTTAAACAGATATTTGGAATAAAACAGGACCTGTTAAACTAATCAAATGGTCACCTGATAGCTGTGTTGTTATGGTGACCTGGGAATGTGGAGGTTTATCTTTATGGAGTGTTTTTGGTGCTCAGCTTATCTGTACTTTAGGAGGTGATTTTGCGTGAGTATCTTTCATTAAAAATTACAAAATGTTTATCAGAATGTTCTATTTTTCTAATGAAAACATTTATTTAGAAGATAATTAGCTGAGTTAGAGGTTTTTTTTCTCACTACATTATAATTTCTAGATATCAAAGTCAGGGAATGATAATTAGGAGAGGATCATTTGAATATAAATGATAATATATTATCTTTTTGTAGTCGCCTTTTTGGATAGCAAAGCAAATTACCTAAAGGCAGGCTTTACAAGGAAATAGTATTAAAATTTCCTTAAATATAATATACTTACTGAAATTGTTCTAGTATCCAGAAATCACAAATCAGAAATGTTACACTAGACAACTGGCAATTGCTTTGCCATTAGGCATTGACATGGATCAAGCAGGCTTTACAGCTAGAGGTGAGGATAAAAATAGAACCCTATGGTAATATGACGATAGGAAGATACTTCTTAATTTTGATGCGCTTATTCCAAACTCAAACTTGTTCTATTTTTAAGGTATCGATCTGATGGAACCAAAAAAGACCCTCTAAGGATCAGTTCTATGGTAAATATGAATGTAAAAATGTTGTAACAGGATGCCTATTAATTTTTTATTATTTTCAGTAGAGCAGATCCTCAGAAAGCAGGCTGGCTTTCTTCAGCTGTATTTACATTTAATAAGTTAAGATGCCTTAACTGTACTTCCTAACACAAGTGTTGTATTGAGGGAAGGGGGGGAATGGGATAGCTGCCTGATCATGAAGTATGCATGCTAAGCCTTTTCTTGACTTTGTTTTAATATTAGAGTGAACATTTTTTATTTTCATTAATCTCAGTTGCTATTCTGTGCTGTATTTCAGAGTACAATGGGACACAAAACTACACTGATTGTGAACTTACTAATTTTCCTAAAATTAACTAGCCCTACCGTTGGTTGTTGAAGTAATTCACAATATGGAGTCATGAGAAAGTTAACTACTGTTGTTTTAATACAAACAACAAATCCTGCTAGTCTATCAAATCCTGCTAGTCTATCAAATCAGTAGATGTTAAGTGTAATGTTTAATGATCTTGAAGATCCTTTTCCCAAACCATGGTGCCTTTTGTAGAATTCTTCCAGGGGAAAAAAAAAATTTGATTATATTTACGTATAGCCTTGTTGCTATCAAGATGCATAATTTTGAAGATGCACCCCAATTGGAAATACGTATTCGCAAGAACAATAAAATATATCTTTTTTTTTTTTTTTTAAAAAAAATGGGAGTTGAAATTCTAATACTGTTGAAGTTAATGACCAAAAACTGTAGTCATTGTTGGGATCAGGATTTTGTACCTGATTCTGTGTGTGTGTTTTGGCTTTTATTGTTAGTTGCTTAGCCAGCACGCTAAACAGTCTGCATAGCTTAAGTGGACTTCTTCCAGAGTTACTTTTCATTTAAGAAACTTTTTTTTATATAAATACAAAGATTTTAAGTTAGATTTTTACTGTTCTTTGTGAGTTTTACTGCTTAGAGGCCCTTATCTGATGCCTATGATGGTATATGTCAGAGCAGCAAATGTGTGGTTTTCTCCCAGTCCTGTATCTATCATAAGATCAATTACAATAAGTTCCTGTAGCTCTTGCTTTCTGAAAATCAGTAGTGACTTTTTTTTAACATTCAGAGCTGGGGTTCAGAAGGGTATCACCTGTGGGTGATTGATGGAAGTTGTTTGCAAAACACAAGACCTGAAGGAGATGCAAAAAATGAAGCTCGCCAGTTTGGTATTCTGCAGTTTCAGTTCATCAAGAGTGCACTTACTGTTAATCCTTGTATGGTAAGTTTTTATTAATAATTGTCCTCATTTTAGAGAATATTTCTGGTTTGCAGATGACTTGAGTTATTCTCTTACCAGATTTTAAGTCCATTTTCCAACTGTTAGCTTGATCTTCCTTTTTTAACCATATCTCTGTTTTAAAGCCTTAAAAATGATACTTTGAAAATATTGCTGTGCAATATTCTAACGTGAAACCTATAATTTAAGACATCATTGCCTAGTGATACAAAGATTGAAAACTGCATTAATTCCTGTATTTTAGGTCATTTAAGTTGAACTTGTTAATGCAGTGATTTTGTGTTTTGCTTTTTTTTTTTTTTGCACTTTTTGTTGTTTTTTTTTTTTTAAAATGTAGAGTAACCAGGAGCAAGTCCTCCTTCAAGGAGAAGATCGCTTGTACTTGAACTGTGGAGATGCAACACAGGCCCAGAGTCCCCGAAATACTTCAGTACCCTCTGAACACAAGCCTGCCAGGGAAAGAAAGAGGCCTGTTTTCAGATGGCAGTTTAGATTCTCAGGGGTTAAGCACTTTATTAGGACACAGGCACTGGCATGTTGTACAGGTAATTCTCTCTGGTTACCCATATGTGTTCTATGCGTTCTGGAGTTTATGGGGCTGGAACTTGCACCTATTCTCAGTCTTTAACAGACCCTTTTTGTTTTGTTTGAGACTGTTGGCTTACTTCCTCTTGGTTCTCCCCCAGTATAGCTCTTTCTTATTACCTAATGATAAAGGAATGTTGGCCATCTCAGCTTTCTGGATGTGAATTTGCATCCTATCCAATAAAAAAAAATCAACATATTTTTGACCCGAGGAAAGAGCAGTTAAATTCCCTTCCTATGGTTTGAAGTGGAGAATAGGTACAACATGCGAGAAATCATATTTATGCAGATCACTTTAAGCATATTCAACTGTTGAATACAACCTTAGGACTTCGGTTGCATCTTCAGGCACTCTGAGATGGTATATATTTAAGTAAATAATTAAAACTTTACTGGGCAGTGTGCTCTAGATGACCCTGCTTGAGTAGTTGGGGG